TCTTGACCTTGCTTGTACTGTTGCATATCTATACACCTGCTCTTGCTTGTCTAGTCCTTTATATATATGTTCTCCTGCATGTGAATTGGCCTTGTGGCCTTGAACTTGTGCTCGGAATGTGTGGTGACTTTGTGATCCACCCTAAGCTTGCTTTGCTTTGCTTTGCTTGATTGGTCTTGTGACCCCTTGTTCTCCCCCACTTTGCCTATGGGGGCGTGTCAAATTATTATGTTGTGTAGGCTCTAGTGGGGTAGCCTATATGGGGTACACATTTCTAGGGTTGCATACTTGTATCACTTTCATTCCTTCGTCATCCATTCTCGTTCACACTTTCTCAGAATGGCAGTGTCGAACACGCTGCGTTGAGCTACTCTGCTCACCTTGCCTGCATAGTGCTTGATGGTGGAGTCTGTCTGCGACATTATGGGCTTGAGTTTCGAGGCGAAGGCCGATTGTTTTTTGGTATGCTTGCAAGGTTCATTCAAATTATAAAAGATAACGTTCCTCTACATGCAACAAAAATGGGGGTGAGAGAAATTAAAGTACAGTGCGATCGCCACACCCCACCCCACTGGGGGGAGGAAGAAGCATTCAAATGTGAGCAAAAAGGGGGGGAAGGGGGGAGGGGTGCAGCTTTTGCTATCACTCTCTCATCGCAAGACATTTAAAAATATGTTCACTCTATAAAGTTAAGCACCCCTTGGTTGTCAACAAAATCAATGTTGCTCCATGATTTTTTTCACGTCTTTGTACCCCTATTGATCCCACTTGAGCATATGCTGGTGAGCGTGCAAAGGAACAATAAAACAGAGAAAGAGCTAAACTTATCAAAGCAACTATCATAGATTTTGAAAGTCATCAAGATTTATCACCTTATTGAAGTGTTGCTGTAGCTTCCCGTTAGTAAGGTTTATGCAAAGTTGCAAGAAGCTCTAGAATATGCGGAGATAACTGCAGCAACGGGAGATAGACTACGGGCTAGGCACGTGTGCTCATATGATCTCTGCGTTCGTTAGTCCTTAGTCGTTTTCCTTGTGCTCACACTACTTGCTAGTTCATGGGGAAAATTGGCAAGAGTTTCACTAGGAAAAGTTCAGAACAATTGGTATAATGAAGTTGGCATAGCAAGACTACATCAGAGCAAGCATTCAGGTCGGCCAACTGCCAGCGCAGCTTGGTCGACCGCGTTCCAGCACGACTAGGTCGACCGTGCTCCAGCAAGGCAAGGTCGACGGCGTGCCAACGTCGCAGGTTGACGGCGTGCCAGCGTTGCTCACGCGGGACAGCAGTGCACCCTGCTTCGCAGTTGTGCGCAGATGATTGGCGTGCAGAGTCTCGTCACCTGCACAGCGCACACACCATGTCAACCTCGAGCTGACGACTGCCTTTGATTCGCCACGACGACCTCGGGATACCACCACCGAGGTCGGGCTCGCCAACTTTGCCTGGGCGACCGTCGCACTCCTCCGCAGCACTTCGTCACCCAGGTAACCTGGTCGACCAGGCAACCACGTCGACCAGCAACTCCCGTACGTGCCCGTCGACCTCCCAAGTCGACGACCACCTCCACGTCGACCTCACCAGGTCGACAACACCATCGGTCGACCTCCTCCAGGTCGACGTCCCCTCTGGTCGACCAGCTCCACGTCGACCAGCACAGTCGTCGGCCGACCACCCATGTCGGCCACTCAAAGCTGTTGAACGAGGAGTGAAATGACTAAGAACGAATGAGTACAAATGTGGAAACCTAGAAGTGTGTACCCCCTATAGGCTAACCCACTGCAGCCTAAACAACTACAACATTAGATATAATGTTTGACACACCCCCATAGGCGAAGTGGGGGAGAACTAGGGGTCACAAGACCAGTCAAGTAAAGTGAAGCAAGCTCAGGGTGGATCACAACGTCACCACACAATCCAAGCACAAGTTCAAGGCCACAAGGCCAGTTCACATGCAGGAGTACATATATATCTATATATAAGACTAACAAAGCAAGAGCAGTGATATAGATATGGAACAGTACAAAGAGGGTCAAGAGGAGAGCAAGTGAGGCAAGACAGACACAAGACCCAGCTGGGTACAACAGCGCTGATGATCACAAGGCGCAAGTGCCTTGGTGAAAACATCAGCAGTGTTGGCCTCAGAGGCCACGCACGCAAGTCGCAACTGACCACGCTGCTGTAGCTCACGAGCAAGGAAGTAGCGGAGAGCAATGTGCTTTGTTCTGTGCTCTAGTCTCTGCTCTCGACACAAGGCCAGCATGGCCTTGTTGTCGACGTACAGGACTGGAGGAGAACGAGGCGGCTCTCCAAGGTCGGTCAGCAGGTAGGTGAGCCAGCGAAGCTCTTGAGCAGCCATGGCCCCTGTGTAGATCTCAGCCTCACAACTGGAGCCGAGAACAGAAGACGAGCGAGTAGCCCACCACGAAACAGAGCCGGAACCAAGGCTGAAGGTGTAACCCTGTGACGACCGCTGCGTAGCCTGGTCGTCAGCCCAAGAAGCGTCCGCGGGACCAGTGAGGACCACTGGACTCCGCCCTCCAAGCACTAGTCCCATGCCCGACGTACTGCACAAGTAACGCAACACCCTCTTCGCTGCAGCCATGTGCTCTGGTCGGTGTCTCCCAGGAGCAACATAGCGCGCAAGAATGCTAAGAGGGTATGCAAGGTCAGGTCGTGTGCAGGTCATCAGGTACATGAGACAGCCAACAAGCTCTGGGTACGGGCCACTCGACTCTACGGACTCATCCGAAGGCAGAGCTGAGAGCGAGTGGCGAGTAGACAGAGGAGTGGCCTGAGGCGAGGAGTACGTGAAGCCGAAGCGCTGAAGGACCTGCTGCACCATGTGTGACTGAGTCAGGGTAATGGTGCGGCGTGCTCTGTTCCGGGTGATCTGCAAGCCAAGGTAGCTGCGCAGTTCACCCAGGTCAGTGCACGTGTGTCTCTTCTGCAGCTCGGACTTCACATAGGCGAGTCCAGGAGTGTCAGCAGTGGCAAAGACCAAGTCGTCGACGTACACAAGGATGTAGAACGGCGGCAGAGAAGTGTCGGTGCGCAGAAACAGCGACGGGTCGGCAGTAGAAGGAGCAAACCCAAGTGCCGCCAGCGTGGTCCTCAGTGTGTCGTGCCACTCACGTGGCGCCTGGCGGAGACCGTAGACTGGACGCTGGAGACTCCACTGGGTACCAGGAGGGAAAGACCCAGTGAAGCCAGGTGGGCGACGCAGCCAGATCTCCTCGTGCAGGCTGCCCTGCAAGAAAGCAGTGCTGAAGTCGAGAGAGTGAAGCTCGTAGTCCCGGTGAGCAGCAACGTGGAGGAGTACCCGAAGAGTGGTCATCTTCGGGGTGGGGGAGAAGGTCTGAAAGTAGTCAACTCCCTGCCGCTGACTGAAGCCACGAGCCATGTAACGCGCCTTGAAGACAGGCGGAGAACCCGGCGGCCGCTTCACCCTGAAGATCCACATGCCACTGACGATGTTCGCCCCAGGAGGGGGGACAGCGTCAACATACGTGCCTGTGGACTTCCAGGAAGCCATCTCTGCATCCATAGCTGCCTGCCACTGAGAGGAATAGGGACCCTCTATCGCCTCCGCGTAAGAGCGCGGAGTCGGGATGTCTAGTGCATCCGGGTCTCCCTCAGGGGCTAGTAGTACAGACGCGAGATGAGGTGAAGCGGCAGCCAAGCACTGAAACTCCTCCTACCTGTCCTCAAGGACGTCCGTGCCAAGGGCACACTCACCCCCGACGGACGGAGGATAGACAGACTCAGACTCAGCGACAAGACTAGCAGCGTAGTCTAGACGAAAGCGAGCAGCAAAGTCGACGAGCTCAGCAACCAGGGCAGACGCAGCTGAAGACTCGAAAGAAGGGTCAGTGACGGCAGTAGCAAGGAGACGCGTGACAGTAGGACTGGCAGCACGAAGAGAGTCCGACTCCGGGTCGGCAAGAGCAGGAAGAGAGGAAGCAGGAGGAGAAGGCAAAGGGGCACGCAGAGGGGCAGTGGAAGAACGCAGAGACATCCGGTGCGTGCCAGGGGCAGGAGGAGGACGTGGACGCGAACTACGAGCTCCAGTGCTAGCAGGACGGACAGGCGACGCAGGGCGAGACGCAGGCTCACGACGCTCAGTAAGACCGTCAGTAGGACCAGAGTAAGGAGAAGGAGCAGGCAGTGACTGAACAGGTTGTGGACACACTAAAGGAGGGGGAGGACCAGGAGGAGGCGAGAGACCAAGAACCTGCTGAAGGAGGGGAACGAAGTACGGCTGAGGGCGTGCGGCGACTCCAGACACAGCAGGGATAGCACCAGTGCCCCAAGCAGCAGTACCAACGCCCGAGTCCGCAGCACCAGCAGGGACTCCAACACCAGGGCCCTGAGCACCAGTCACAGCTCCAACGCCCGGGTCCTCAGCACCAGCAGCAGCTCCAACGCCCGGGTCCGCAGTACCAGCAGCAGCCCCAACGCCCGGGTCCTCAGCACCAGTAGCAGCTCCAACGCCCGGGTCGTCAGCACCAGCAGCAGCTCCAACGCCCGGGTCCGCAGCACCAGCAGCAGCTCCAACGCCCGGGTCCTCAGCACCAGCAGCAGCTCCAACGCCCGGGTCCGCAGCACCAGCAGCAGCTCCAACGCCCGGGTCCGCAGCACCAGCAGCATCTCCAACGCCCGGGTCCGCAGCACTAGCAGCAGCACGGTCCTTGAGACGAGGCGCGCCACTACGAAGTGTGCAACGGCGCTCGTACCACTCACGGATCCGCTCACGAGAGGGGAGCTCCCGACTAGAAGGAGAAGTGCCAGCACCCGTCTCCGTAGCGCACCTGGTCCCAGATGTACCCCTCTGAAGGCTGCAGTACTGTAAGTACCACTCACGCAACTGCTCCGAGGAGAGGTCTCGGCCAGGCGGAGGACCCCCTGGCGCAGTACCGCCAGGCTCAGCACCCCCAGGCACAGCACCCCCAGGCTCAACAACCCCAGTGTCCGCACCCCCAGGCTCAGCACCCCCAGAGTCAGCACCCCCAGGCTCAGCACCCCCAGAGTCCGCACCCCCAGGCCCAGCACCCCCAGTGTCCGCACCCCCAGGCTCAGCACTCCCAGCAGGACGAGAGTCGACAGCAACCTCAACAGGCTCGACCGGGTCTACCTGAGACACACCTGAGGGAGCGGCACCCTGAGGGGGGAGGGGGTCTACGACACCAGCACCTGGCGCGAGGAAGAGAGGCGGGGGAGGGAGCGGGGAAGTGCGGTAGGGGAAGAGGCGGTAGTAGGGGACAGACTCGTCAAAAGTGACGTCCTGAGAGGGCAAGACCCGGCGCGAGGTGGCGTGGTAAAACTGCCAACCAGGTGCGTCCGGAACAAAGCCGAGGAAGACGCAGGGAACAGCACGAGAGGAGAGCTTGTCCGCAGTCGAATCGCGAACAAAAGCTCGAGATCCCCAGACCCGGAAACGCGACGCATCGCCAACCTCCCCCGTCCACAGCAGTGTGGGCGAGGTCTCCGGCAAGGAGACACGGGGCCAGAGGTTGAGCTGATGCGCAGCGTACCGGACCGCAAACGGCCACAGAAACTGAGGGGCAGCCGCATGGATCAAGGAGGTACGAGCGACCTCCATGACCAGGCCAATGCGGCGCTCCGCAACCCCATTCTGCTGTGGAGAGGCCGGAAGCGTGAACGACTGCTCAATGCCGTGCTCAGCACAGTAGGCTGCCAAGAGGTCGGAGGAGAACTCACCACCTCTGTCAGAGTGCAAGCGCAGGACAGGAAAGTCCGAGCGGAAACGCTCGCTGAGCTGGAGACGAGCTCTGCGGATCCAAGGGATCAAAACATCAGGGACCTCACCCTTGGTGCGCAAGGGGAAGACCGTGGTGTAGCGCGAGTAGTCGTCAACAACGATCAGGAAGTACCTCTCCTGACCCTGACCACGGACGCGGGCTGGGCCCCACACATCCATGTGGAGCGTCTGCAAAGGAGCAGTCGTCGGGGGAAACGAGGAGGAGTGAGGAGCGGCGCGCTGCCGCCCCTCGACACAGGGAAGGCAGGGAGGAGCAGGTGAGGGTGGGAGAGGAGGGAGAACCCTAGGAAGACCAGAGACAAGGTACCGGGAGTGCATGGCACGAAGGCGCTGCACAGACGGGTGGCCAAGTCGGTGGTGCCAGAGGACAGTCTCGTGTGCTAGAGAGCGACACGAGCAGGGGGCAGACAGCTGACCTGACGCGGACGCAAACGCAGACGCAGACGCAGCGACCTGAGGGGAGTCAGTAGTCAGTGTGTACAGGTCCGACCCCGGCTGCCGGGTGAAGGTAGCCAAGTGGCGGCCCGTACGAGCACACGTGCAGTGTGTCACACGCTCGTAGGCAGGGGTGAACTGGTGAACACCCCCGTCCTGGAGAGCAGAACCTGCCACCAAGTTCGTGGAGAACGAGGGGAGGTGGAGACCTGACAGTGTGCCCGACGGGACCGCAGGGCAGGGAAGGACAGTGGAGGAGGTCGCAATGACCGGACCCCCAGAGGGGTCAGCAAGGGAGACAGCAACTGGCCGAGCAAGGGGCTCAAGGGCAGTGCGGTCACGAAAGAAACAGCGAGAGGCACCTGAATCCAGCGTGAAGGTGTGCAGTGCTGGAGTCGACACAGTACCAGGGGGGGAAGACACGCACGCACCTAGAGCAGCAGCCTTACCAGCACCTGGGGTAGCAGACACGTGGGTACCTGGAGCAGCAGACGCACTTGTCCTAATGCCCGGGTCGGGCGGGACACTCAGGTACTCAGAACCCTCTCCACTAGTAGACATCACATACATGGCAGAGAGAATAGCATCAAAGTCTAGAGCATAGATATCAATCCCCTTCTTCAGGAGATCAAGCCAGCGGGGCAGCTCAGTGGCCTGAGGGAACTGAACACGCCAAGCGTCGCTCAGACGAGCGAAGCAACGCTGTGTGGCGTGCGGTCCCCCACACGGCTGGCCAGTGCGGTCACCAGTGCGAATGACGTACGTGCAGCTAAGGCCACCCCCCCCCCCCCCCCCGTGCTGAGAGTACCACTCACGGACCTCCTGGGGCGAGGGAGTGTGCTGCTGTCCCTGGCCAGTGCCGCCACGCCCACCACTCCCGCCACCACCTCCTCGACCACCCCAACCCCTGCCGCCGCCTCGTCCACCGCCACCCCCACTACCTCCTCCGCCCCGGCCACCTCCCTCGCCGCTGCCGCCACCCCCACCACCGCTGCCACCTCCCCCACCCGCGCCACCCCCCCCCGCCACCACCTCCCCCACCACCGCCACCCCCGCTGTCACCACCACCGCTCTTGCCCCCCTTGCCCTTGCCGCTGTGGCGTCTGCCCGAAGCAGACGCAGTCCCGACTTTCTCAGCACCAAGGAGGTCGACAGCAGCAGCAAAGGCGACAGAGGGAAGAAGGGGGGAGGGAGAACACCCTTCAAAGAACGGGGTGCGGGGGTCACCGCGAGAGGCACCTACAGCGACTATGCTAGTCTCGGCTGCAAGGAGTTCCTTCTCTAGGAGGGCAATGGTGAGCTCGGTGGGGCAGCGAGCGAGGAAGTGGTCCCTGACTGAGCGCAGCGAGTCAGGGAGGCGCGTGACTAGGTGGTAGAGAGTGATCCAGAGCGGGGGTGGGTTCGTGGCGAGGAACTCATCAGGCATAGCGGCGCGGAAGCGAGCCTCACTAGTGCGGAGGTGGGTAATGAGGTCAGCGACAGTGAGAAAGGAAGCTAAGTCGGGGAACAGGTAGGGAAGAGAGAGACGGCCTAGAGCAGCAGAGGCCGGTGAGGAGTAGCGGGCAACGACAGCAGTGTACAGTGCCTCTGCAGTCTTGTGCTGCCCAAAGTGCTCGCGCTCATCTATCGGCAGAGAGTTGCGGATAGCGAAGCGAGCATGGGCGTCACGAGTCTGCCACTGTGAGCGAGCAGTGCTGTCGGCAGTAGCAGCAGGAGCAGTAGCGTGGCCTAGGGCATGATCGTACAGCGAGATGTGTTCCTTGGCAGTGAGCTGTAGGAAGAGGTGTAGGTCATCAAGCCAGGTGTCGAACTTCACTGGGCGCCCTTCAGCATCGAAGGCTAGCACTGGAGGGCTAGCCATGGTAGTAGCAGTAGTAAAAGCAGCAGCAGCAGTAGGTAGGTAGGGCGGCGCGGCTCGGTACAGGTAGGGCGGCGCGGCTCGGTATAGGTAGGGCGGCACGGCTCGGGTCGGGCGGCGCGGCTCGGTTCGGGCGGCTCGGGTCGGGCGGCGCGGCTCGGGTCGGGCGGCTCGGTTCGGGCGGCTCGGTTCCGTTAGGGCCGGGCTGTTCGGTGCGGGCGGCGCGGTCTAGGTGGGGCCGTTCGAGGCGGCTAAGGGGAGCACGGGGAGCGGGTGGGGTTGGGGACGGGGCCGACGCGGGCTGTAAGGGGTAGGGACGGGGCCGACGCGGGCTGTTAGGGGTAGGGACGGGGCCGACGCGGGCCTCTAGGAGTAGGGACGGGGGCCGACGCGGGCCTCTAGGGGTAGGATCGGGGGCCGACGCGGGCCTCTAGGGGTAGGATCGGGGCCGTCGCGGGCCTCTAGGGGTAGGGACAGGGCCGTCGCGGGCCTCTAGGGGTAAGGACGGGGCCGTCGCGGGCCTCTAGGGGTAGGCTCGGGGCCGACGCGGGCCTCTAGGGTAGGCGCGGGGCCGACGCGGGCCTCTAGGGGACGAGCTCGGGGCCGACGCGGGCCGTTAGGGTTAGGCGCGGGGCCGATTCAGGGCCTCTAGGTGCAACAGCGCGGGGCCTACAGGGCCTCTAGAGGCGTGAACGTCGAGGCGCCCTAGGGCAGGTAGGCAGATAGGCAGGTAGGTAGTGGTGGGCCCTTAGGAAAAACGGTCCTAGGAAGGACCTGCTCTATACCATGTTGAACGAGGAGTGAAATGACTAAGAACGAATGAGTACAAATGTGGAAACCTAGAAGTGTGTACCCCCTATAGGCTAACCCACTGCAGCCTAAACAACTACAGCATTAGATATAATGTTTGACAGAAGCTGGCGTCACGAAGTTGACGCCCCGCTACTCGACGCCCAACTGCTCGGCGTCCTGAGTCGAGGTCGACGTCGGCCCTTCCTTCGTCGACCAACAGGTCCAGTCGACCACTAACAGGTCGACCAGCAGTCCGTTAGCCGACCGTCGAAGTCGGCTTTCCCAAGTTGACGTCACCAAGTTGACGTCCTCCGCAGGTCGACACCCAAGTCGACCTTCCTGAAGTCGGCGCCACCCTGAAGTCGGCGCCCGTGCAGTGGTCCCCCGTGCAGGTCGACCTCCTCGTCGACCAGCTCACCCACTGCTGAAGGTCGGCTGCTCCCCTCACACTCGACCACGAAGTCGGCTCCGCCCAAGCGAGGACGGGGCTAATACCCAACTCCCGTTGACAGAATAAAGCAGATTTAGATTAAAAAAAAAAAAAAAAAAAACATTAACAACAACATTTGTTGCCTCACAATGTGGTGCCTACTGGCTTTGAAGCTCTCAAATTCATACATATCGAGAATACCGAGGATGGAGACGGGCTTAAGGTTCTCGACTGATCGATGTATCCATTTTGTGCACCAACCTAACCAGGGTGGTGGGTTTTTTGAAATGTGACACTCTATTTTGCCAATCACACCCCCCCCTCCCTCCCCCCCCTCCTCAAACTTATAGCACGCACTTGTCAAAGAGCTTGACATAACACTGCTGATGCAGCGTCCAGATGATCCTTTAGTTCTTCATCATTAACTGCCCTTTTGCGAATATCACATTGGAGAAGAGAAGGGAACCAATTGAAATGAAAAAAAACGATCATTTTGGATGCATGAGCAAGCGCTTCTTACTTACTTGAGTAGCTTTGCTACCATATCCAGGAACAATGTGACTCCTCCAAGGACAATTTGACGAATTCATGCTATTCTCACATCAGGCGAAGGATATGTTCCCAATGTGAAGAACGACTGCCTCACACGCGTCCCATTAGGAGGGAGACAATACATTGGGCACACAAATGGAAGGAGGGGTAATGGAGGGAATATTCAGCTGCTTTGCCCTATGCCTTACTATGTTGCGCTGCACCGCAATGAGCTGCTCTGCCCTACGCTTTGTTGTGCTGCGTTGCGCCGCACTGAGCTACTTTGGGTAGCACTTGGCTATTCTGCCTTACGCTTTGCTTTGCTGGACAATGCTCATCTGCTTCCACTGAATCAGCCCCACAACCTCCATTGCTTGCAGAGTCTTGCCATACATACGGTCTGGCTCGGATAGTGGAATGTGTTGGCGCCGTCTGAGTTCCAACAAAAGTTTCTCATGCAGCGGAAAAGCAGTGGATACTATAAGCGATATAGGTAGTAGGAGAGCCAAAGTGTTTGTAGTAGGCAACCATGAGTAAGCCAGCAATATTTTTTTACATGTAAAAGGGACAATGAGGTAGCAAGTCAGAGAAAGAGGTGTGCGGACTGCTAACACAGGAGAGCTGAGGGATCGAGAGGAATGGTGGGGAGAAATTAGGTAAAAGAAAGAAGAGCTTGTACCTCAAGGAGGAAGTGGAGAGATCATGAAAGTGAGGAAAATGAGTTAGCCTAGAACTAGGGAAGAAAAGGCCAAGAAGTGGGCTCAAATACACGCTGCTTTGCCCTAAATAGCATAAGCGCATGCTAAAATAGAGGTAACGAAGGAAGTGGCAACATCGCGTAGTTGGTAGCTGCACTTGAAGTTGCACTCAAGTTGAGAGACCCGGACAACCCTCGCTCGTTCTAGCAGGTACATCCGTACGATTGCTTCGTATATTCCCCCGTTGTTGTTGAGCTAAAATTATACAAATTTGTTGAAGTGGTTGGAAAGTGTTGTGAGTGAGGCCTTAGATAAAAGGAGGATGATGCAAAAGAAACCAGAGGCGACGAAATCGTCTTAGGGTTGCGAAGCAACACTCGTAACATGCGTAAGAATTTTTGAACGACTTTAATTTGTTTGTCGTTGTTGGATTGTAGTAAATTGTGCGATTTCCATGTTTTAAAATGATCATGAAATACAGATGTTTTGAGATATAGTTGAGGACAGGTTACTAAATTATTATGATAATGTGTATATGTGGTAGTTGTGTTTCATACAAATTTCAGTTTTCAAACGTTTGTTTATGTGTTATGATTTGACAGGACTGTAATTAGAGCGAATTGCTGACGTCAGCAGTTTCTAACGCGCAAAACATCGACTGACGTCAGCAGCGTCGAAGGAAATTTGCGCGGAAATTTCTGACGGCGCTGCTGGCGTCACGCGATTTTGTCTTGTGCGTGAAAGCTTGCTGACGTCAGTACCGCTGAAATTTCGAACAACGCTTCTGACGTCATGCGTTCCGCGCTGTACAGTTTCCGTGCAGCTGGGACCGTTTGTCTGGTAGCCGCGAAAGTTACTGAACAAGCAGTGAAGATTCGATTTAGCAGTTGCTAACCCGATTTCGATTTCGATTTTGATTCTACACTAACGCGTTTTCAAGGGATGGTTGGAGGAAATGTGCCAACCCGCTTGTTTGTTGCCAACTTTTTTGGCATCTTTTTTACAGTTATCTTCTTCTTACAGCTGTCGACACTGCTCAACCCTGTCATTTCATGCGGTTGTAACTGCCTACACATGACGATTTTACTGTAACGTTATGGTGACACATGACTCCTCTGTTTTTTAGTGTGCTGTGAATAAAATCGCCACTGGTTTCTTTTGGTTCATGGTTAATTTGTTTCCAGCGCACAATAACGAGCCTTTTGCCATTGGACAATGCGTTTTGCCCAATGGCAAGGCAGTGGGTGGTCCTTCCAGGCTTAACTCAAGCAATAATTCGAAGGATTTTTTTTTGGCAAAAGCAATGATCTGTAGGTCATATGTTGACAGTTTCTAGATCTGTTTTCAAGGTTCAGAGGGCTGTAAAAGACATTAATCACAAGTAGTAACTTCAAGTGCTTTAATGTTGGGCAGGCAATTGAAACAGAATGAAACAGAATGAAACGGAATGAAACAGAATGAAACAGAATGAAACAGAAAAACACACAATGAAACTGGGGCACTTTCTCATGCCTTTGCTAGCATCTCCTTTCATTCTCTAGCATCTTGTCATTCTTCCTACTTGGTTGAATCTTCAATCCTAAGCATACTCTTTCCTTCTAGTAAGTTAGTTGGTTGAATCTGGTTGTTAGTCTACTACTTCTAGTTCCTTCTCCTACTTGGTTGAATCTGTAAGTTAGTCAATACTTCTAGCTTAATAAGTTAGTTGGTTGAATCTGGTTGTTAGTCTACTACTTCGAGTTCCTTCTCCTACTTGGTTGAATCTGTAAGTTAGTTGGTTGAATCTGGTTGTTAGTCTACTACTTCTAGTTCCTTGTCCTACTTGGTTGAATCTGGTTATGTTATCTCTCTTTGCGTTAATTTTAGTTCTTGCTCCTAAACTTTCCCCTTTCATGTCTCTTATTTTCTACTTAGTTGTATCAGTTGGTAATTTTCTGTTTGCTTATTTTCTATTTCTTGTTGCTCTTGGGACTACAACCACAGGCACCCACTATCGTCCTACGTGGAGGTGGATCTTTGATTCTGATCATCTGAAGGTACAATCCCTTGTGTTTTCACTTATTATCTTAACATGTGTTCGTTATTTTTGTTTCAAATAACGCATGTCTTATTGTGCCTTGCTTGTATAATTTTACCTAACATAGAGAATGTTCTTTTGAATCGTTGCAGTCAACATTAGATATATGTTCATAGAATTGCTCCATGTTCTCTACATTTTTTCTTGTCTCTCTGTTTTTGTCTAGGCACTTGGATTCTTCTCTTCTGTAGTTGAAGTTTCTCCTTGGAAGCTATAGAGGTAACATGATTGTTTGAAGAACATGGTTATCGTTCTTTGATCTTCAAATTGTACAACATAATTTAATCCTCTGCTACGTTTCTTTACTTCTCTGTTCATCATGATAATATGCATAATGTTCGTCAATGTAGCTATGCAAGTATTTTTATTTATTTCTACTTTGTTGAATGTGTTGGTGTATTTCTGTTTGCTGGTTTTTTGTTGCATGTTGTTTGTTAGGACGACAGCTACAGGCTTCTAATGTTGTCTTTTGTGA